AACAAGTCAGTTTTGCTTAAGCTTCGTACACAATTTTTAGTCTTTGATATCGATCTTATTTTGATTTTAGTTTTTAAAATTTAAAATCAGTAATTTTGGTTCTTAAAATCTCATTTAGGGACCAAAAACACTATTCTTGAATCAAAAATATTTAGATAGATTAAAATGAGTTTAAATTTCAAGAGGTCAAAATTATAGAAAACAACACTAACATGAGTTCAAACTTCATGAAGTAAAAGATAATATTAACACTTTATTGGTAAGTATTTATCATGGACTTGATTATCAGTTTGGGACTTCTCCTTTTCCGTTTCCATCCTCTTTCTTTTCTAACCGTTAGATCAACATATTTTAAAGGTTGGCATTTTAATTTTTATAAACTATTTGTTTAAAAAATTTTAAAATGCTTAGTACATTTGCAAACCATTATAATTAAATTGTAATAGATTTTGTAATTTATTATTTATTTATTTTCATAATTTAATATTTTAGTAATATTTTTAAAAAGATTAAAATTTCAACCATTGAAATATGTTAATTTAATGGTTAAAAAAAGAAGAGACGGGAAAAGGATGGGAAGGGAAGAGGAAAGGAGACGTTCCGAATCGCTCTATCATATATGCAGGATATCTTCATGGGGATATTGAACTAAATTTGTCTAGTGATTTTTATTGGTTCTAAATTTATGAAATAGATAACTAAAAGTAATTAAGAAAATCAGTTAAATTAATTATGAAAAATACTTATTAATTTTCAAAAAAAATTATTTCTTGATAAGACATTTTCTTAATATGTGTAATTAATATAAAGAGAGTTTAGAAAGAAAATAAAATTTAGGGATAAAATGAGTTGAGATTTTGCAATAACTTTAAAACAAACTCCTCTACAACTACTAGTTGTTATATTTAGAAGGGATAATTAATCTCCAGGTCCTTATAGTTTTATCTGATTTTTAATTAGGTCCTTATAAAATTTTTTCTTTTTATCAGATCCTTTTACTTTCGTGTATTTTTAATTAGGTCCTTCTATTTTTTTTTCTTTTTATCAGGCCCTTATAGTTTCACTTATTTTTTAATTAGGTGCTTTGTAGTTTTTGAAAATTATTTATTAACTTTATTCTTTAAAATTAATTTCATTTTTAAATTAATAATTATATAATTGGACAAAATAATTAATATAATCATTTAGTAATTAATAAATAATCATAATAATAATTATACTTAAATATAAATTATTTATAATCATATTTTAATTTTAGATAAATTTATTATTATAATTTGAATTTTATAATTATAAAAATTCGAATTGAAAATAAATAATATATTTGTTTAACTAAAAATTTAAAAGAATATTAACATAAGATTGTTACAATAATTTATTATTTTTAAAATGTTATTATTTGTAGAATAAAGAATAAAAACTACAAGGACCTAATTAAAAACAAAGTAAAACAATAAGGACCTGATAAAAAGAAAAAAAATTATAAGGACTTGATTAAAAATATATGAAAGTATAAAGATCTGATAAAAAGAAAAAAAAAATTATAGGGACCTAATTAAAAACCAGTTGAAACTATAAGGACTTATATATTAATTATCCCTATTTAGAATTGAGCCAATAAAACATAGAAAAAAAAATCTATTGGATTTAAAATAATAATTAAGTGATTTTGACATATTTTGACTTAATCAATATGGACTATTTATTTCTTTGAAATTCAATAGGAATTTTTTGTCATTCTTCCGAAGAAATATTCTGCCTAGTTTTATAGATCCTCTTACTTGTTTATCCATGGGTTGGTCAGAAAGAGAGAACAAGAAGATGATGGAGAGAACAAATCTTATTGAGGGGGTGTTTGCCTAACTTCAAAAGTGTTTTTAAAAAATACTTTTTCTGTAAATTGAGACAAACTCCTTCATATTTTTATTTCGTATACTATAAAAGTACTTTTAAAATTATAATTTTGTATCTACCCAAATATCTCAAATCGAGTCTTGTGGCTGCTTTGTTTGGTGCAGAGCTATGTTTTGGCTTCACCTAAACCTTCTTCAACAAATTTTTTTTATAAAAAAAATCAGATTGAAAATGTGACATCATTTCCCTACTAACATGCCATTTTAGATTTTTTTTTTTAAGGTTAAACTCTTGCGTACTTAGTAATTTAATATTCAAAAATAACTTTATGTTACATTAGAATGAAATTGCATCATTTAAATAATTACAGGGATAAAATTGTACCACAATACAACTGAAAAATATTTTAGGATGCTTAGCATATCTTGATCCAAAATTGTATGATATCTAAAAGTATATATTAATTAACCCTTCCAAAATATTTAGTCAATTAATCCAACATTTCTCATTTATCTATCATGGGTCTAAATCTATGTTTCTTTTATTTATATTTTAATTTATCAGTGAGATCGTATTTTAATATCATCTTTTTTTAACAACATATTTTAATTTCATCTGAGTGTATATTTTTTCCAATTATTTTATTCATATACAATGTGCTCAACTTTATTTTCTGATCATCTGACTCTTTTTTTTCCCCCAAATCAAGCTAGGTTCCACTTATCAAATACAAAATTCATGTTCAAATTTACGTGCTTGCCCAAAAAAAAAACTTTCGAAACGGCATTTTGAAGAGGCTGATGACAAAAATTCAAATCTATATTAGGATCCATTTGATTCAGTTACGTGCCCTTCTGCGATAATAATTTTGTATCTTGCGGATAAGGCTTAGAGGCATAAATTTATTTAATTTAATTAAATATATTACAGAAAAAAATTTAAATATGCTTTTCTTAAGATAATGATGAAATTATTTCTTTATTATTTTAAAAATAATAGTTGAAATTACAAATTAGGAAGTGACGCGCATACAAGTTCACCTTTATGGTTTTGCTCGGAAAATAAAATATATATCTAAAGAGAAAAAATATATTTCTGATCTGTTGGGTGCTATATATACATTTTTTATGTCCAGTTTTTTTCGGGTTGATATCCAGTTCAATCTTATGAAAACTTGAAAATATTGGTATTTATTAAAAAAAAATACAAGTTATAAAAATTATGCATAAATGTGAATTGAAATACATTAAAAAACTATAAAAAAGAAAAAGAAAAATGATATAATGATTAATGAAAGATAAGCTTAAATCAATTAAAAACTAATATAAAATTAGGCAAAATTAATTCAAACGACAAAGGTGGAATTAAAATAGTATAGAAATTAAGAATCAAGCATTTCTGATATTAAAAAAGATATAACCAATTATAATAATATTATAGTAGTACTTCTCATTTGATAAAATATCAGACAAAATTAGAACAAAAGTAAACTAGAGTGAGCACAAAGAACGTAAGATTAGTCAAAAACAAAACATTTAAGAGAAACAAAAATAGTAATGGAATTACAGAAATAGTCAAATAGGCTGTCATCAGATCAAAGCATCGTTCCGCGTATCATCCCAAAAATCAGATTCCCTAAGAAGCTTCTTATTCTCAAAGCATCATATATTTAAATCTTTCTTATTCCCCCGATAACTTATACTCCTTCTAATCCTAAATATAAGTTTTGACCCAAAAAAAAAATCCTAAATATAATATCTAGTCAAGAGATTTGCTTTGACATTAAATATAAAACTCCAATCTACTTTGTCTCCTAAACTTATAAATTTTCTTCGAGCTATCTCGAGAGTATTTTAAACAACCCAATATATATTTATTACAAATAACAAATTTAATCAATTTATTTAATATTTCCTCCGGTTTTTATTATAAGCTTCATCTAACTAATTTATGAATGATGAACACTCAATTAAAACTAGTTAAAAGTAATAAATAAGTTAAAAATATATTGTTATTTCTAAATATACATTTAAAATAAATAAGAAAAAAGATAAAAAAGAATGTACAAGAAAATGTGATGGAAAAGAGTATGGCAAATGAGATAGAATAAATAATTGAGAGTAAAATTGGAAAGAATACATTAAATATTAAGACAAACCTAAATAGAAGCTTATAGAATAAACTACATCATTTAAAGCTTATAAATAGGACCGAAAAAAAATATATACAAATTAGTTATTTAGCTCTTATATTATAGACCATAAAATTAATCTAAGCTATAAGCCATATTAAAAATGTCTCAGGTGCTGAATCCATGGAAAGTGCAAATGCTATGATCAATGTTCCAATGCAAGAAATTGAACCTTTTCACAAATTGAACAAGAGAATCGAGATTGAAGAAATCTTTTTCTTCATTTGGTTTAAAACCATAACGACCAACCAGAAGGAAAAAATTTCGGTAGCTTAAGCTGCTTATGGTTAGAGTGCAACTGAAGAGAAAGATGAAAAAGACTGAATTTCATCAACATGTATGGGATCAACTCTCACTCCTTTATGCAGAGTCTCACGCAATTATTCTTCAGTCAGGGAGAAATTAGAATGTGATTTTTAATCAAATATTTTTATGATCAGTGGTCAATTTAGCCTGATAAAGATGATGAATAATAACACTAGCCCAGCCATGTTCTTGCTTAAGTGAAAATTTCAAGCCCCAAAAATCAGTTAGTACTATGCTATCTACTGTTCAAGGTTCTTAACTAGACAACCAAGTGTACAAGGTTCTAACACAAGTACACCCAAATAGATCAACTACTGAAGAATGATAAAAATTTTAGTTACTGAGCCCTATAAGCACCAATTATTCCTGAATGACTAGTCAGTGCTGGGCTGCATGCTCTGTCAGCTGCAAATTGAGAGATATATGAGAATTTGGAATACATGTTTAAATACATAAAAATATATAAAGTATAAAACCAAGATATTCAAACAGATAAAGGAATCATACTTGAACTAATAGTACTACTAGTAGCAGTAATTTCTTTTCATTAAAATTTGAAAGATTCTGTTACTTATTAAAGTGATGAAAAAGCAAAGTGACTTGTGGACCCATAGCTGAAGAATGAAGATCCAAAAAGGTAACAAGCTGGTGACAAAGGTAAAGGCAGAGAAGCTGGATTATGTGGAGATGATGACCTACTAAACCGTTTCATTTCCACAAGAAGCACAGGAATAAGGTGTTTTAACTGATTACTGTTGGTATATGATTATTATTGAATTTATTGTTAATCAATAACATTTGTAAATGAATAAATTCCATAACTATGAACACTTTCATCTGACAAGGGATGCAAGTCAACCACCACTTGGCCCAATGCAAAATAAAATAAGTTATTCGCCGAATGCTTGTGAGAGAAATTGACTTGGATTAGAACTGTTAGATTTGTGGGCGATTCACAGTGGTGCAAACCTCAAAACTCCAAACCTTCATGCCTGATTCTTTTGCTGTACAGGAGAAGATGGGCCCACCTGAAAGAAAAAAGTTTATTTAGTCTTGAAGAAAGAAAGGTGAGCCGCATCAGAGCCATCAGTCACCTTTTCTAGTTCAACATTTTCAGATGTAACCTTAAACCGTCCTCTCTGCTGAACAACTGGTACCTTTGCTTTCTCATCATTGTCATCAGAACTTGCTACTGCAAGAATAGATTGATTAATCCAAAGGGCAAGAGCCATCCTGGCAGGCTTCAAGAGCTAAGCCAGTATTATGTTAATAATCAAAACAAACTGTTTGTGATGGTCCCCTGAAGCTGATAGGCAAGATACATGAACAAAGAAGAACCGTAAGCATGTACCTGACAATTTTGAAGCTTTTGAAGATAGTTCAGCATGCACATCATCCCTCGTTAGGGGAACTGTAGTCGCATTGCAGTTTAGGTTGTTCTGGGGCTGATGTTGCGGCTTCTCCCTGTCATTTATTCATGAACATTAATGCATGCAAATTCACTGGATTGCAGTAGGAGCCATCTTCCCAAATTTTCAAAGACAAGGAAAAACGTTCTATATATATATATTTTATGTTTTTATATAAAGGGAAAAATAAAATAAAATGTGGAATATTGCACAAGCAAGTGCATCTTTTTCAATTCAAATGCATTGGATTGCATCATAGTCCCTTTTGTGGTATCCCTTTTGTGGTATAAGTATAAGATGCCTGAAAGTTCAAAGCTCTTTGTATGTTTAAAGCTATTTGTATGTATTACTAACAATCATGAAAAAATTGGGGAAAATATAGTTCATGCTGATATTTTCATATTTTTGTTTGGAAAAAACTTAGTCAGCGTTACTACCCATCTTCAAACAGAGCAGGCTTGTAAATCACCACCAAAGTTCAAAGCTATGCCATCATAGCAATTAACAATTGTATATACAAGTCAACGCACTTTTCAAACAGTAAAAATGTAGAAATACCTTTCTCCCTGAATAGATGGAGGTGTAACTTCGTGGGAGACATTCATTGAAAATCTACCACGAAGGGAATGAATAGCTGTTTCCTCTAGAGACCTCCCACCAGTCTCCCTGATAGATTTTTCATCCATGTAATGATCAACCTCGTTATCAAGAAGCGATGAAGAGTCCGGTGAAATGTCCTCCCTATGGCTTGAACTGGTGATGCTAGAATCATGATCCTCACATTTTAACCTGGAATAGCAGAACATGAAAGTAATTGGATGAGCTTCATCAATCCTTTTTTGGTGAATTTTCAGTAGATTATGCCCTTTAAAGCCGAAGGAAATTGCCCAAACCATTTGGATACAAGCATTAGCCTACTACTTTTTGCTCTCAAAAGTTTTTACGTTATGATTAACATGGAAAATCAGAAATAACTAGGTGTGAGAATACATGCTAGAAAACATACTTGGTGCCATTTAGTGTGGATCCAACTATGGGGACAGAAGCAGATATATTTTGCATCTCATCAGTGTTGTCCTGTGAAGCAGTGGCCAACACATTAGACACTACTCTTAAAAAAAAAAGGAAAGAAAAGGAAAAGAAAAAGAAAAAGAAACTTGTTTCTTTGTTATTGATGGAAAAGTGAGAAAAAAAAGGTGGGGGCGGGGGTGGAGAATTTTAAGCTCTGTACAATACATGTGCCACTATTATATAGCAAATGAATCGTAAATACCACGTCTAAAATTTGAGAGGGATTTTGGTTTTGACTTGATGATGGCTTGTCATGTTCATTGGGTGTAGAAAAGGAATTTGAACATCCTATATTATCATCTATGGGGTCGTCAGAATCCTGGATCTACAAAAACAAATGAAAGTATAGTTAGGAATTCTATTGCTTCAAGGGTTACACATGCATTATGAGGAACAAAAGATTCTGAAATCTTGCACACCAAGGAAGCCTGGGCCTTCATATCATCAAGATTGAAGTTCCAGCCACTAATTCCTCGCTTGTATTCATTCTGCAGAGTGCAGAGGATCAGAACAACCATGTTACCAGCATGTAATGTAATCCGTAGCAAACAAGAATAAGAAGCCAAAAAAACAGAAGAAAGCTATTGAAACTAATTCATTCACAGCTTCATCTTTCCAAAATAACATATTTTGGGAAAAAGTACAATACACGTAGTTCTGCTTGAACTTGCCTGACCATGACCAAAAAAAAATGCAGAAGTAAGTTTCTTAGATATGTCAGTAGGGTATGCCTAGAGTTTGTCACTGAATACAGATGAATGAAGATACTGATTCTTTCTTTCTTCCTTTCTTTCGTTTTAGGGCAGGGGAGTGAAAAGTTGTTTGTTAATAGGAATATGCAATACAAAGTGAATTTAAGGGGTGTACACACATACACACGACAGTAGTCATTACGTATAAGCTTCATCTACCTGAGATATTTCTTCCATTCGCCCATGAGGCATTTTCTCTTGAGCAAGCATGTCTTCTTCTTTTATCTGCAATAGAAAAATCACCCTATAAATAATTTTTCCATAATAACAGGGTATGAAAAAGAAGTTAGTTTGATAATTTGGAACCTTTAAAGCTTTGATGCGATCACCTAAAGCAGGAAGCCCCTCCAAAAGCTTTCGTGAAATATAATCATTTGAACGTGCCTGCCTGAAGAATGAATGCTTTAACAACTTTTTAGCAGTTGGTCGTTTTGAAGGATCTTTCACTAGACAGCTAGCAATCATGTCTTTAAATGTCTGAGAACAAAGAAGAAAGTCATTAAAATAGGAAAGAATTCAAGGATAATTCTTCTTTGAAGATATAGAAATAAGAAGTATTGACATATATTCCTTGAGAACTGACATGGGAGAACTTGTTATCCCTTTCGTAATCAAGGCCTGGAGGTGCATGTTGCAATGTCATCAGCAGCACCTGTTTATGTAAAAGATCACATCAAAATTAACTTCTGGCCATATCAATTATGGTTCAACAAGATAACATCCACACCTTCATTGGTGGATACTTTGAGAAAGGAGCATGACCGTGGGCAAGCTCCAATGCAGTTATGCCAAATGACCAGATATCAGCCCTGCAAATAGGAAAAACCATTTTCAATTGTATATTAAGATCAGGCCTTCCATCAACAAAACGAAAAAAATATATTGTCCTATCAAATTTACTCACTTAAAGTCATAGCCACGCAGTTGTTCCATGACCTCAGGTGCCATCCTGGAACAAGAACATTAAACCTAAACTATAAGTTATTCAATTACAACTAAAAAGGAGTACTACACAGATCTACCCTAAGCTTTGCTGAAATTATTTTGACATCCCATTAAAGCAATTGCACCACTCTCTAGTTCAGTTTTAAATATTTTGTTATAGAGTAGGACCTTTTGGTTAACTTTTTATCCAAAGACTTAGTTGTTAATAAAGCACAATAATGCTATGCAATCCATGTAGTCAAACCCACCTAATAGGATAAAATTTCTTGTTGTTGACTAAAAGTATCCTTCATTAACCTTAATATAAAATTTTTGTAACAAAACTCTGATGAAAACCTTTTTTTTTTTGGTGCACATTTGAATGTAAATTCATCATTCTATGTTTAGGTTACTGGAGGGTATTTTAGTCTTACAAAAAATCAAAACTGGACTAATGCGGATACCTTTGAAAGAGGAATAGAACATGACCTGACCCGCAGATAAATGTCCATTATCATAAAAATAAATGAACTTTAAACTCACCAGCAGGGTGTCCCCACAAATGTATTGCGTGTGCGTTGCCTGTCACCAGAATCAAAAAGACAAGCAGATACACCAAAATCTCCAAGCTTGATTGCCCCATGGCCATCAATTAGAATGTTCCCAGCCTATAGGACGTTATATAAGATGAAGGGAAGGAACGCGAGACTATATAGTAAACTTTTGTGAAGTGTGAAAAGTATTAAAAACACCATAGTCATCAGTACTCACTTTGACATCGCGATGTATATGCCCATGATGATGAAGATATTCTAAACCCTTTAACACTTCTCGCAATATTGTGGCTATTACAACCTCCTCAAAACCATCAGGGTAAGCGGCTTTTAAGATGTGAAGACAGGAACCGCCAGCCATATATGGCATGACAAACCACAAATTATGATCACTAACGAAGGAGCAGTGCGATTTAAGGACATTAGGGTGGTCAATTAGGTTCATTGTGTGAGCTTCACGAAAAATGTTATTCTGCAACAAGGAAAAAAAAATGAACAAAGGCATATGTTATACAACAACTTACAAGTTTGGAGTGTAGGCATGCATAAAAACAAAAGTAAAGTATAATGCCCAGGTCCTAGAGTACAAATAAACAAAGAAATAATGAAAAGCTTGAGTAAGGGTGAAAAAAAGGATCTCACCGTCTAAATTTTTTTGTTTCTTTTTGCAGTTTGAAAAGCACTAGTAACACATTAGACATGGAAAGTATGCTCGTAACTTCGCCAACCAGCCAGAACGGGATCCAGAAAGAAATTTTCTAGCTACTTAAGTGGCTGTATGGCCAGATACAGTTTTCCTTCTCTAAAGTTGTTGCAGTAAAACACAAATTGCTTTTCCATAATCAACATTCCAACTTTTTTTTTTTTTTCCAATTCATTCAATCATTCATTAAACAACGAACGAATTTCACTAATGAAATTGCTTTTATAACAAAAAGAAGCCAACAAATGAATTAAGAAGTCATCAAAATGATTGAATGAGTTACCATACAGGGCTAAAGGAGGATACCACCTACCAGATTAGCATTGTCGCGTTCAAAATCAAGAATTTTGATGGCTACAGTCTCATTGAACGGTTTGCAAAGAGCACGGTGAACCGTGGCACTCACGCCTTGGCCAATTTCCTCGTAGAGTTCATAATGCTCGGGACCAATCGGATACTTCTTCTTCTTCTCCACCTCCACAACGGGATGCTTCTTCTTCATCTCGCCTTCAAATTCTGAAGAGACAGAGAAAACTTACCGGAAAACAAAAGCGGTCACACTTTTTAGCTAAAAATCAGTACAAAGTATTCAACAATAAAACGATTAATGAGAGAGGGAGAGAGAGATAGAGGGGAGAGAAAAGGTATCGGTGAGTGAATGCGGAGTGATTTGGACGAACGTGTTGAGGTTATCGTCTGCGTCTGAAACCCAGATTTCTCGTGAAGTTATGAATACGCATCCAAATTGAGAGAGAGAGAGAGAGAGAGCTTTATCTTTCGTGAATTTAATTTAATTTATTGATTTCTCAGAAAACTTTCTGTTGCGAAAATATCGGATGGAAGAAGGAAGAGAGATTGGAGAAACAGAGCGTGGTGGTGAGATCATTTTATACTTAACGTGATTGCTGGCGAGCTCAACGAACTGGCACGTGACTTTCACGTTCTCTGATTGGCGAGAGGGAAAATCTTTTTTTCCTTTTTTATTCAAAAAAAGGGAAAATCTTATCTTTCAGTTACTTTTGGATTTCTTGTGTTTTTAATATCTATCCAACCCATCGAGTAGATTTATATTTATTGTATTTTTTCATTTTATCTTATCTTTTATATACTTTTTCTATGGCTTAATGTGAATTCTAATTTTTAACCTTTTTCCCCTAAATATAAATACCAGTACAAATTTTTATGTATAAAATGCATTTTTTTAAAAAATTTTCTTATAGAAAATTTAAATTACCTATGCCGCTGTTGATATTTAAATATGCATATTTCTTATGTCATTTAGCTGAGGATAAGGATAAAAAAAAAAAATCACTCTCTCTCTCTCACACAAGTATTATTTTATCGATTTATGTGTCTGTCATCAAAATTGGAACTTACTATATTGAGGAAGGAGGTATTACTTTAATTTCATATTGAATAGATAAAATAATTCTTGCATGCCAAAAAAAAGATAAAATAATTATTAATTTGATTTATCATGAAATTCATTCATGATTTAGTTTATCTAGATAAGTAGATTTTTTTTTTTAGCTGGCAAAGAAAAGATAAATGTTACTTCTCCTATCTTTAATATAGGACTTAATTGTTAAGTTGATTTTGGTCATAAATATAAAACTTATTTATCATATTTATCAATTTTTTTCTAAATTACCCCTATAGATACTCTCTCAACCATAATCAAATACAGAGGGAGATAGGATATTAAAAAAAGATGATCATGGTATTTTTTAGAAAAACATGTCATATTTCTTATAATTAGCTAACTTACCTAACTTTCTTAATCTAATCAAATTAATTAAATAGATCTTATATTAAGGACTGGAGGAGTTTTTTTTAAAAGATCATTTGAATCTCGCCAGATCTTAAGGGAGTACTTTATTTTTCTATAAGACTTGAAATGAGATTAAAAAGAAATTCTTCACTCAATGATGCTTAAACATATCGAGTATCATTCACTTGATTTAATTGTGACTACCATGCATAATATACTCCTCTAATCCTTAATATAAGACCCATTTAACTAATTTGATTAAATTAAGAAAGCTAGGTAAGTTAGTTAATTGTAAAAAATGTGACATGGTTTTCCTAAAATACCATAATCATCTTTCTTAATACCTTATCTTCCTCTTCTACTTGATTATAGTTGAGAGAGTATCCATAGGAATAATTTAGAGAAAATTGATAAATATGATAAATGAATCTTATATTTAGAACTAAAACCAACTCAACAATTAGGTCCTATATTAAGGATCGGAGGAATATAATTTAATTAATCATTTACCAAATAGAATAATTATTAGTAAATTCATAAAATTCACTAAAGCCACCGATCAACTCTACACACATATATATAATTAGTATTACCATGATTCTTAATATAAAAACTACTTAACTAATTTAAAAAAGATTAAAAAATCAGTTAAATTAGTTATTTATAATAAATATGAGTTGATTTTCCTAAAATACCTCTTTTAATTATGACTGTTTTTGAATGAAAATTTCTTAAAAAAATATAATTAATAGAAATACTTTGGAAAATGGATTATGAATTTGGAAAACAAAAAAGATTCAGGTCTTATATTTAAAATTAAATTAAATTTCTAACTAACTTTTATTTTAAATATAAGAGTTAGTTTGCGATCCTAAATATAAAATTTTAATCTATTTTATTTTCTAAATTTATAATATGTTTTCAAAAATATCATTAATCAATACAAGTTTTTTATAAGTAACTAATTTAACTAATTTTTTTATTTATTTACAGACCAAATGTAATATTAAAAGCCGAACTTGACCACGTCCATATCCAATCTTTTTCAAAGCAAAGACCATTCACAAGTCAGGGGACTCATCTTGAGCTTCTTGACTTTCGTATAAATAAAAAGGGCCTAACATTATTATTATACTCTTTTCTCTCGTAATTATAACTAGTTAGAAAGTTTAATTTAGTCACGTTAATGCTTTGATTTCAATTTATAACATTTTTAAATTATTTTGTTGATTACACATGTTATTAAAAAATTTTCATCAAATATAATACTAATACAAATGAATAAAGGTGATGTTTTTAAAAAAAAATCAATATTTTTTTAATAAATAACTGATTTAACTAATTTTTTTAGTTCTTATAAATTAGTTTTATCTAGCTTATATATTTAATTAGAGGCTAAAAATTATTCAATTTGTATCGTCCCAATCAACCCGCTCGATCCTAACCAACTTAGGACGACAAAAAAAAAATTCCGGCATGAGACAAAAATAGATAACATGACATAGGTCATTTTTTTAATTCACCTACTACTACTACTATTATTATTAGAAGATTATTTACTATTTTTTTGCATTAAGTCTCCAGTCCTATTCTTTTCGTGGTGTCTCCTAATTTTTTTATAGTACTTTTTTAACCGAGTTCGTTTTTTCGCATCTTATTTTTTTTTTACAATTTTTTTACTTGGGTTTTTTGACATAATCATTGTTTTAGTGTTTTTTCCCCGTTAAATTGGGTTATTTAGTATCTACATAGAGTTACCTTTAGAAGTTCAACAAAAAAAAAATATTATGACATAAAAAAGACCTAGAATGCATTGACCTAAATTTTCAATGGTTAAAAAAAAACAAAAAAATTGGATGGGCTCAAACAAAAATTTCATCCCATTCCTATTCATTAAAACGGGACTAAGATGGGTTTGTCCTGATCCCATCTCATAAACACTCCTATATTTAGCAAGCAACATAATGCTTAAAACTTATAAGAACACAGAAAGTTGTTATTAATGCTTTGAACTCAACCTGCTTAAACTTAGCGTGGGATTTTGGTTTCAGAAAGGTGGTTCTGGAATCTGATGCATGGGCTCTAATCAAGAAGTTGGAGATGAAAGGAATGAAAGACAGAGGCAGTTTGCTATTTGTCAGGATTAGTGAAATGCTGAAATGGAAGTGGAAAGTCCGGTTGAATTATATACCGAGAGAAAGCAACAATGTGGCAGATGCTATGGCTAAGTTGGGTTTATCCAAATCTGCTGTCTATGATACGTGTCCAAGGTCCTTGAGCGACTTGGTGGAGTCAGAGTCCTTTCTTACGATAGTTGATCAGTAGTTTTATTTTGGGCTTTAGCCCTCGTTTGTAGCAAAAAAAAAACCTGCGCATGGGAAAAACATAAAAGGAAAAAAAGAAAAAAATCTGGCATAGCTATGAGTTTGTATATTTTGAAACAATGAGCTACTACGGGACCAGAGTTCTTCTTTGTCTAAAATAGTTCAATAAGATGTTTTTGCCCGTTGTTTCATGTCTTCTCACCCCCATCGTTTTTCCAGCGACCTGTTTCTTTTTCTTTTATAGTAGGTTTTTCAGTTGCGCAGTTGCAGCTTTTGTTCCATTGACGTTATAGTAGGAAAATTCCAAAGGTGAATTTCTTAATAAACAAATAAGCGCAAGCAAGGCAAACTCCAAATACTTTGCACCAACCAAATACACCAAGACAGTATATATAGCGCAATTACATGAAAACTTTTCCTTTAAACTTGAAACTGCTCCAAAATGTGAAGGTTTGTCTACACAACTTGTCCCAGTGTCTATCAACAGAACCCATGTAAACTGGTTTCTAGATGAAGGGAAGCCTTTGAATAATATAAAATCAACTAAAAGAAAGGCCGATGTTTGTCCTTGCCATTCAAAGCTCAGTTTCAATGAAGTCAGATATATTAGCTTCTGACGTCATTATTAAACCAATTAAATTGTACAACAGTATGGATACACGTTCATAGGGCCAGGTATCGGAACTCAATCACTAAAATGTAGCAATGTACCTGAGAGGCATCTTTCTTTAAGCGGGCGCCCGATTTAACAATTTTCTTTGGATTTACGTTAAACATTATTGACACTCCTGGTCTCATAGAAGGAGGATACATCAATGTTATGGCACTGGACATTATAAAAAGGTATGTCAGAGGCGGAGCATGCTCTCATCACTTCACTTGTAAAGTACGTTTATGGTTTAATTTGAATTATACATGATCCTTTCTCCTCACTCGCTTCATTTTCTTTACATGGGATCTGGGTTTGTGTGAGTAGTTTCCTTTTGAACAAGACCATAGATGTGCTGCTTTATGTGGACCGTTTAGATGCGTATAGAGTGGATAACCTGGATAAGTTGGTTTCCAAGGCCATCACAGATAGTTTTGGTAAAGGAATATGGAAGAAAGCAATAATAGCACTCACACATGGTCAGTTTTCACCGCCAGATGAATTGCTTTATGATGAATTTTCATCCAGAAGATCAGAGGCTCTATTGAAAATTGTTAAATCGGGCGCCCGCTTAAAGAAAGATGCCTCTCAGGTACATTGCTACATTTTAGTGATTGAGTTCCGATACCTGGCCCTATGAACGTGTATCCATACTGTTGTACAATTTTAATTGGTTAATAATGACGTCAGAAGCTAATATATCTGACTTCATTGAAACTGAGCTTTGAATGGCAAGGACAAACATCGGCCTTTCTTTTAGTTGATTTTATATTATTCAAAGGCTTCCCTTCATCTAGAAACCAGTTTACATGGGTTCTGTTGATAGACACTGGGACAAGTTGTGTAGACAAACCTTCACATTTTGGAGCAGTTTCAAGTTTAAAGGAAAAGTTTTCATGTAATTGCGCTATATATACTGTCTTGGTGTATTTGGTTGGTGCAAAGTATTGGAGTTTGCCTTGCTTGCGCTTATTTGTTTATTAAGAAATTCACCTTTGGAATTTAAATTACTAATCTTCACTTATTGTTTATATCAATTTGTCCTTTCTTTTGAAATAGGTAAGTTTCTCAGGGTTTGGTTCAATGGAGGGAGGGGAGAGCAGGAAAGGATTTTAATAGAAGGACAGAGAGGGAGAAATTTTTAATAAAAAGAGAGAAAGCAAGTGCTTGTTTTTTTTTTAATAGAAAGAACAGAAGTGATTTTAATATTATTTTGTTTAACTTAAAAACGAAAGAGAGGAACAATATCTTTATATGGCCAACTTTATTTTTATTTTTCAATAAAATATATTTACACAGTTCAAGATAAATTTCGTTTACATACCTACTTTTTACACTACAAAAACACTTAAATAAGGTAAAGACGATTTAATCCTAATAAGCACATTACATTGAATGTCATTTTTCTATATATTTATCTTCTTTTCATTTATGTGTCCTATTTCATTCTTGATCATAAGTATTTCCTCTAATAATGAGAGTGTTTTGTACACACACTGGAAGTGCTTCACCCAATTGACAATAATCATCTCTTTAACTTAAAACTGATAAAAAAGAAGTCTTAAGTAAGATTGCCCATGTATTTTTTAGAAGTATCATAGTAAAAAAAATTATGACATGTTTTTGCTTTTCAAAGTTTAATTAATAAGGTGTTTTTAATTGAAACTCCCTATCAAACAAGGATAAATATGTAAACAATGTGTAATTTTAAAGGTCATCAAGTAATTTGTCAGAGGTGTTACTTATTTAAAGGGAAAATTAATCCTTTACTCCTTGAAGTTTTAACTCGTTTAAAACTCAGTTCATTAATTATGACTCATTATAATTTAATTTCAAAAAGTTTAACTCGCTTAAAACCTAGTCCATCATCTTTTTTATTGTTAATAATTTTGTCCTTATCACCTACAATCCATGCCACGTCATCATTGAGCCATCCTACCTGAGAAAAAAAAAATACAGTTATAAATTCTTTTGTGGATTTCTAGCTCAGCTCTCCATGCAAATTTGACAAAAAAAATTGAAAAAAAATAAAGCTTTAGATTTACCATGAACTCAAAGTGGCGATGACTGACGGCAACCTCACTCTCCCTCACTCACCTCCTCTCCTCTTTTTCATCGCCTTTGATGCTTGCTAGCTGAGACAAGGAATTACCAAATGGGCTGAAAACTTTTGGAGGAAACTGAAAAAAAAAAAAAAAAAAGGAAACAGGGCATAAACTCATTCAAAAATAGCGGTGTCTCATCATTGACAATTCTAATTCCAATTGAGATGGTGAGAAAGATCCATCCCAATCTTAAATAGTTTACTGCAAGCTCACAAACTAATCATCTTGAAAGCAACAAAAACGAGGAGTTTCAAGGGACAACTGCAACTCCAACACATTCACGTTCATTAGTCTTGTACAGGATGTGTTGAGGATGATTATCGAGAAGAGGAGAGAGGTGAGTGAGGGAGAGTAAGGTCACCATTTGTACTTCATCTCCAATCCGAGTTCATGGTAAATCTGAAGCTTTATTTTTTTTTTTTACAATTGTTTTGTCAAGTTCACGTAGAGAATTGAGCTGGAAATCCACAAAAGAATTTATGACTGTATTTTTTTTTTCATGTAAGATGACTCAGTGATGACTTGGCATAGGTTATAGATGATAAGGACAACATTATTTAAAATAAAAAGATGAGAGATTGAATTTTAAGTAAGTCAAAACTTTAAGGACTAAAAGATTACTTTTCTCTTATTTAAGAATGTGTTGTAATTTTAATTAGAGTCGATCAAATTTATACATGTTGGTGTGTCAAAGTTGACAAGTACAAATTGCTCAAAGAGAAAAAATCTAAGTGTATATATGTGACAACTCGCAGCTTTGAGTTATGAATAGACTTCAAAGAAGAGGAGTGGAATCTCAAGTTTGCCACAGTAGCCTAATTTGTAAAGAATTGTTTGGGATAGCGGTGAAAATCACTTATAAGCACGTTTTACGTAAATTAGGATAAATTTTTTTTATATATTTGTCTCATATTTCATAAATTACGATTAAAAGCTATTTATAAGATGTTCTAAACAGGTCCTAGGTCGGTGAATTAAATGTAATATTTAAATTTATTTTATTTTTTAAATTTATAATTTGTTTAAAACTCTCTATTAATGCACACATTAATAGGACTTTTTATCAAAGAAGTATTTTTAATGCAAATAATTAAAATGATAGTTTGGGCAAACTAACACAGTAAACTTTTTTAATACATAACTAATATAACTAATTTTTTTTTTATCTTTACAAATTAATTATCTAATTTTTATATTTAGATTCAACGGAAGTATCAAGTAAAACAGACAGAAGATGCTCTACAAGCCACAACAAATTTTATGATTGAAGGGAGCATGAGAATGTGGGATTTTTATTTACAAGCGGCAAATAATTTCAACTTAAAGCAGTTGGGGACCAAGGAAATCAGACGCCGGACCACAGTTCGAATCTGAGAATTTTAAATGTAAAAGGCGAAGAAAAGTGTGCATGATTTTCAGGCGCTTGAACTCATGCTAGTCTTATATATGCCCAGATGTTTTTATTTTTTTGCGAGAAAAAACAGAAAAAGAACAAAAAGATGAGCAGCAAGCGACAATCGAAGCTGCCAGTCTCTAGGGTTTCCCTTTGAACCAGTGTAGTTGAGTCCGATTTTTGCAGTTGCCCACGTCATTCTCATAGCTCGCCGACATGAAGCTCAAGGTGAAGACTTTGAAAGGAAGGAATTTCGAAATCGGGGCCCAGCCCTCCGACACTGTTCGTAATCTCATTGCCCCTTCGCCTCCTTTTCTGTGTTCTCTTTTAGGTCTCAATTTTGCTGTTTGCGTCGTCGTTCAAAACTATGACAGGAACAATGAACTGAGCTCTCGTCTGTAGTTTATTGGATTTTGTGATTCAGTTCTTGTATTTTAGATTTCTGAAAGCGAATTTGTTGAGCTTGAGTATTTCAAATCAGTAGCCTTGCCTCATTTTTGCGGTTAGGTCACTTAATATCCAATAATTTTTTTTAATTTATATTGTCCTTGGAATGAAGTTGTAGCTGTTTTGAAGAATGAGACTATTCTCTAACTTGTCTCTACGTTAACTCAGCTTGCATTTGCATTATATACATGAATTTCTTATTCTGTATGGGATTGTTTTAAACAATATTGTATGTGTCGAGTGATTCTGCAACCTCGTTGGCGCTGAAATGTCTCTTAACTTTATTACGAAGCACGAGTTTCTGTTAATTTCATGTTCCCTTACCTATTTCATCTTGAATTTGTCATCACAATGTTAATTTATTGTTATATTTTATAATTCATCTAAACAAAAGTTTGAATATTGTGGAGGGGACAGTTTGAAACTTAGTCTATGTTGTCTGAAATTGCACTTCTTTGTCCACCGAAGGTCATGGCAGTTAAGAAGAACATTGAAGATGTACAAGGGAAAGATAATTATCCATGTGGACAGCAATTGCTGATTCACAATGGCAAGGTGTTGAAAGATGAGACTACACTAGCAGATAACAATGTTTCTGAAGATGGATTCATTGTTGTAATGCTTAGTAAGGTATCTTTCCTTCTTCATGAGCTTTTTGCTGGACAATATTGTTATCTTATGTGCTTTTTGTACATTGCATTTGGTTCCAATGGATCAGTTTATTTTCTTTTTATACCAGTTTTGTTCTGGGAATGTAACTTGTGGTGAACCAACAACATTGTGGTATCATGGTAGCCTAGTCCTTGCAAGGTGAAAATCTAAAATGGCTAAACATAATCACAATAAAGCTTCTTTTTGGGTAAATAGTAGGATGAATCAAGTTTGTTTGTCCAAATAGTCCCCACTCACTGGTTCATAAATTTTGCATTGACTTCTCCAATAGTTGGTAGATGCCTATCTTAACTCATATCACAGTGACTTTTAAGTTTGAGCGCACCACATTAAAGTGATGAGAGGAAAAATAAGTTGAAATGAGAAGTTAGTGACTTTCTCTCTATGGATCCAGTCAAATTGACTGATTAATGGTGGTTTTAGTTAACTGACTCTGTTCACATTTCCCATTCACGATTCTGTAAATCATTTAGGTGGGGCTTTTTTTTTTTTTTTTTTGGTGACAGGTGGGGCTTATTTATTTATTTTTTTTATAACGAGGATGCATGGTTTTTAATATTTAGTGCACCCTTCTTTCTTATCTAGTCAACTACATACCTATTTGTATTTGAGCTTTTGCTTGTGAACAGCATGAGTAATTATTTGACTCTTTCTGCGTTACCATTCCCAAGATTTTCTCTCGATGAGTTCAGAAAGCATTAAATGTGATAATCTATTTTATATTATGTCGTTTATTTAAATTTGTAGATTCATATCTATTCTCACATTAATTCCCTTATACTATGCTTTGGCCTTTTTTTGTAATTGTTCCTTCCCTTAAACTCAATTTACCCTAATATGGCATTTTACTTATCTATTTGCAGAACAAGACCTTCAGTTCAGCTGGGGCTTCATCCACTCAGGTCTTCTCTTTGCTCATGCTATTCTTTTTTAAGCATTTTAGTTTATCTTTTGTTTCTCTCTCTATTTGTCTAGTGATTGCCTATATATGAACATGTGTGACAGCCTGCTAGTAATACAACTACAGCAG